GCTTGGTATTTACATATGACATGTTACCTGCTAATTTTGTGAAATGATTAAATTGAATGTGTGAATAAATACTGCTTCTCTCAACAGCTGTGTTGCTACCACACCAATGCCGCTGCCGCCACCACCACCATCACTACTCCTAACACTAACACTAACAAACTAACACTACTGCTGCAGCCTCTTTCTTGGCTCTTTGAAGCTTACCTTGAACAATTCTGCCGGGACAGGAAGTGACCCAGAGAGCAGGAGGTTAGTGGGTAAAGAACACAATGTCTCCTCGTGTTTTATCTATAATTACGTGAACTGCAAACTTATTTTTGAGATGGCAAGAGGACGGTGTAAAAAAAGGTATTGGGGTTTTTCATTTGTTCATATATGAAGCGCGCTCTGACTGATGAAGTCTAGAGGGATACATTCTGATGTGTACCTCTTGAAGAGTGATAGGTTAGGTGGATGGATCCCTTTCATCTTGTGAGTGACCAGTGATGTGTGGAGTCCGTGACATACGACAGGGCAATGCTTGTGAATACTGAGCTTAGTCCCCTGTAGCAGGTCAGGGACTTTGTAAAAATATTTATGAGACAATGAGGAAAAATTTAGATGATGAGTTCATTTTAAATAATAAGAATCATTTTCCTTTGGGAACAACGGTACTGTGCTTGATAAAATTATGGTCTTATTTTACAACACATATGGAAACATTTTATGATTGAGGTGGTTTAATAGCTGAAATTGCCTTCAGAGGAAGTCAATTGTGAGGTGAATGGAAGTGCACATGTGAAAACAATTTGGCTGTGTGGCATGCCATTTAAGGCTGGGCGATGGACCAATGGTAATTCATTATACTGCTCTAGGTTGTATTTGGAAATTATTATAGAATGTCTTGAAACAGCCCTTTGTCACTAAGGTCTCATCTGATATCACATACCTAGTATCACTGTTCTTCAGTAAGAAAATTTAGCCTGTATGTAGGCAGGCAGACACACACACACACACACACACGACACAGCACAACCAACATAAACCTGACATCCATTTGACATTAATGTTTGCACATCAAAAAGCCAGCTTTGCTGGGCTCTGGAGGCAAACCAATATAAAACCAACCAGAACTCCTGTGTTTATTTGTTTTGTTTTCATTTTCAAGGCCTCTACTCAGACTTCTCCATTAGTTTATCTACAATGTCCATAAAGATTTGAAAGAAAGGGTGGCCAAGATGGTTCAGCAGTTAAAGGAACACACTATTCTTGCAGAGGACCCAAGCTTGGTTCCCAACACCCAGAGTAGGTAGCTCACAAGTGCCTGATATTGCAGCTCCAAGGAATTCTATGCCTCTGGCCTTTGTGGGCACCTACACACTGTGAGAGGCTCTGTGACCATCACAGCCAGTAATGATCTAAGGAGGCAAGAAGGCAGTTCGGTTCAACACACTTAAGTACCTGATCTTAGCGCAAACTTCTGGAGTCTGACCCCAAGTAGTCTATTTTAGGTATATTTAAGCACAACACAATCTGCTGAAAATTTTCTTGGTGGTAATTCAGTCTTATGGCAGAGTAAAACTGAAGCTGTGACTACAGTGAAACTATGTGGGATAAATGTGACATTTTCCAAAGAGATGGGTTCTATAGATGAACAAGCTCACCATACAGGTCTGGAGGAGGAGCCTCTGTGGTCTCGGCCACACAGATCACTCAAAGGTCACCACACTAGTAACCATGTCCACTCCCAGCCTTCTGGGTGGAAAACAGGTTATATATCCCTCCCTTTGAAGGGACAATACTGTGTGTTTAACATGCCTGGTTCCCCAGGTCCTTATCTGTGAACAGACCTCTACACTTCACATATGTTTATATCTCCACACAGATGCATAATTTAAAAATAGTATTTTTTAAAGATCTGGAAGTTTCATTTTGTGTGTGGACAGGATCTTTTAAACATTGTATACTTATCAGATGTTTTAGATAAGTGTAGTTCTTTCTCAATGCCAATTAAATGGATCCATTCACCTCTCAGGACCTCCCTAGGTGTTTAGTGGGAAGATATTTATGTGTTTGCTATGACAGGCAGTTATTTCATCCAAGAGCCTCTAATGCTGAAATGCATGTTTAAAAACTGTGGTACATTTTCAAGACTCAGGAAGTTAACATTGTGTATTATTTCTCACTTGTGCCAAGCACTGCTCTAAGGGACAGAGATACAACTGTGAACAAAAACAAGCCCTGCCTGAACAAAAACAAGCCCTGCCTTTCAGAGGCCAGCACTCAAAGAGATAGAATAGTAAGTGCAGACAGAGGGCGTGTAGAATGTAAGGACTACAGTTAATATTGTATTATAGGTTGGCAAGATGGCTCAGTGAATATAGGTGCTTGCCAACAAGCTTAAGACCTGGGTTCAAATACCCATAACCACATGGTAGAAGAGGATTGACTCCTCAAGCTGCCCTTTGACCTCCACGTATTCACTATGGCACATGTTCCCACAAGCACTGACACCATAGAGACACATATACTATGTAGGGAATTATCTATTGTGCACTGTGTAAAAGCATCAACACCTGTCAATAAAAATATGATGGTCAATAAGCTGAGGCAGAATCAGAAGGCAGGACATCTGGCAGAGAGAGGGAAAAAAATCCATACACTTATCTGTAATTTCCAAACAACACAGCCCTCACATGATCCACAAAACCCTTCATCACATGGCCCAAGTCTGAAATCTCACCCCCACTGCTACATCCATCCCAGGCCCTCCCCTGCAGTCACCTTACACTATGCTGTTCAATACTGAGCTGTTGTGTGAATCAGGATGAAGGTTAAGATACAGAAGATTAACAGTCTTGGGTTAGATATATACTGCTGGGCCACATTCCCAAAGATTTTATCAATACCAAAGCAAAGTGTGTGTGTGTGTGTGTGTGTGTGTGTGTGTGTGTGTGTGTGTGTG